GATCCGTTGCCGCTCGCGCCCCGGACTGGAGCGAGCGACGAGGAGGGGGGGGGGGGGGCCTTGTAATTTGTTGTTAGTTCTTTACGCGCGGTGTTTGTGGTTGTTGTGGTGGTTGTTCGGGAAAGTTAAGAATCTTGGGGATAGGGAGTATACAATTAATTCTCTGTTAGCGATATCGGGTGTAGAATTCAGCGAAGGGGTTGATAGTTGATGGCGGGGTGGAGTGGGGCCGGTGTGAAAGAGGCGGGGCGTATAGGTAGCTCTAGTGCGGTGTGGTCAATGCCATACACCACCGTGTACGGCGTGTTCGTTATGATGATATGGTGTTGTTGAGTATTGAGTCATCTCGAGCGCGGCGCGCGGAGCAGCAGCAACCGAAAGGTGAAGCCGATCTCTCACGCTGATGTGATGGGCCGCTGTCGTTTCCATTTATATGGCTTTCTGTTGGCCGGACAATTGGCTTTGATTACCTCCCTCCCCCTCCCCCTTTCTGCTTCTACCGCCTGGACGGCCACCTTTCGGTTAATACTCACCCTTGGGTCCTGCTCGAGAGGAGAGGAGCTGCTGCTGGTCTCTCTCTCTCCCGGAAAAAGCACGTCAGCGTGGCGGGCGCGGCGCGGTCACTCGCCTCAAAGCGTATCAAAATCATCATAATTCATGGAGCAGTTATGATACGAGGGGAAGGGGGGGGGGAGATGCACTGCGTGAGGAAAAGGTTGAGGAAGTGGAGGAGGAGGGGGAGGAGGGGAGCCCATCGATAAGGCACCCTTAATAAATTGATCGACGCCGACCGATTGACCGTGGTGCGGAGGCGAGGCGGGGGCTCCCACACACGGGCGCAACGGCGAAATTTAATTTGATTGTTATTTGGACAAGCGCGGGGGAGTAAGTCGACGGCGATGAGGTCTAGTGAGGATAGTAGAGTCGCGTGAGTCGTTTTGTGTACCAAACGGTGTGATCGAGGTGGTCCTGGAGCTTGCCCTGATCCTGGACGTGGTCCTGATCCTGGCTGTCCAGGTAGCACGACGCTCGGTCGGCGCCGCAGGCCCTGCAGGGCGCAGGAATGCGCTGTGCGGCGGAGCT